AGGTGAGCTGGTCTCATCGTGGACCCAACCAATTACACTGTGGGTCTCACTAAGGATACATCTGGTGCCAGACGTCATGGTAACCGGATACTGTTTTTTAGCCCAGTCGACGCAGCTGTAGCGTCTAAGCGTCCGCGCTGCACCTCGGTAGCTTCGAGGACACGACGTGTGAGTTCAGCACACCTTCACAATAAAACCTGATTATTAAAAAACTGAAGTCTGAATTTTGGGGAAACTTTCTGATCGAACTGTTTTTTGTTTTGCGACCTTTAAGCTCACACCTCCCCCAGCAGCAGCTGCATCCTGCTTCAACTACAGCGACACTTTACAGACACCTACTGCAGAGCCGTGTGATTAAAAACAGCCAAAGTTCTTCTATTATTAACTCAGCTTATCAACGACTGCTCTGACTTTACATCCAGGTATCCGCGTCGCGTTGGGGGCGACATCAGCTGAGCCTGCAGACGGGCAGCACCCACGCCTGCTGAGCGCCGCTGTTTATCCTCTGTGGGCGTGCTGAGCCCGCAGCAGAGACTATTTAGATACGTCTGTGTTTATGTTGTCACAGATAACAAAGGTTCAGACCCCCGATCGCAAGCTAGCGTGCTCCTCGTGGCATCATGATGGCCACATCAAATCAAACATGGAGATCCCAGATGTGCGGGAGCGACCCGTTAATAACGAGTTCTCTCAGGTTCCTATAAATACAGATCTTAGTTGCTCTGAAGATTTACCTGTTTGTGGCAGGTGGTGGGCGGGGCCGTCCAACGGCAGGATGGCGTGGCTGCTGCCGCTGACACCACGTGTTGACTCGGAGGAGGAGCCTAAAAACAAAAAAATACGAGTTAGCTATAACAATAAAAGTAATCGTTAATATTTTACAGCCGAAAAAACATCAACACACCTGGTAGGAGTGCTCTGATTGGACCTGCCAGAAGCTGCCAGAAGACGAGGGGGCGGAGCAACTCAGGGCGGCACAGGAGGGAGAGGAGGGAGACGGTGGAGACGGTGTTGGTGGGCTGGAAGGCGAGGACGGGGAGGAAGCCGGTGAGGCGGGGGAGGAGCCGCTGTGTCCAGAATGGGGAGGAGGCCGCTGCTGCGGATGCTCCCATTGGTTGATCTCAGTGTAGTAAAAATCCTCCTCACTGCGGGAACAGCGCTCATGTTCGCCACCACGGCTGTA